TTATGATGATGATAAAAATTACATGATACAAAGAAAAGTTTACAATGAATGTATTTCCGACATGTATGAGATATGTATTTCTATATTTCTGTATACATGATCTGAGATATGTATTTCCGACTGCAGACAATTACTTTTAGTTGACCAAGTCCAAAAATTGATGATGGCTATTGAATTTACTGAAGGCCTACGTCACCAGTATTGGCGAAGGTATATGACATTCAGTTATGCCGCCGCCGCTGCTCGGCCCGCCCTGTCCTCAGCTTATCGCCTATCCGGCAGATAGCGGTCAGTTGCACTGTTTGTTAACCCAAATCCAGTCAATTGTTCTTAACAACTAATTATTTATTATCTATCTAGAGCTAACATTCACAAACTTCTATATCACAACGTTACATTTTAGGTGGAGGCACAGCAACCTATCGCTTTATACGTTTTAATTGTCAATCGTCTATCATCAACAAATTTAAGACTCAAATCAACCCTCTTATCTGGCGGTGACGCATTTGACAATAGGAAAACATTAACTGTAAATTCCCATGATTTTATCGATGTTTATGAAACGTATATCCTGTTAGCAATCTAATAATAAAGTAATTTTTATCATTATCATATTCATAATTTGCTATTATTTATGCTTTAGGTTTAGGTCGCTTACCGTACGCTGGAGGGCGCTGCAGGGCATCATAGGGTCCGCACCACGAGCCCATCACTACGTTCTGGCCGTAGAGGGCGCCGCCAACACCGCCCACTCCGCCCACAGCGCCCACACCGCCTACACCGCCTACACTCCCACTGCCTGTTGATGAAACACTTACATAAGAAAAGAAGCAACCTAATAACAGTTGTACATACAACACTATCGTATTAGTGATGTTAACGGTTAACCGAGCTATTATTCAGTAAAATAAAACACACTTTTGAACCACGTACTGTTTCAGAAAGTCACATTTTAAAAACTGAAAGGATGAATTTTCTTCAAAGATACGCAAATCCACGACGATAGCGTAAGCATTAACTGTCTGGCTTTCCGTTGTCTTCACAATCCGCAATACACTTGACACACATTCAATTAACTACAAAACTATTTATTCAATTTGAATCGATGTAAACCTAGAATACCACCGAATCATGTACAAACGAATTATCCGAATAAAAAAATAAACAATACGATAAGCACTGCGATAAGCATTATGAATAAATCAACTCATGTTTAAAATGTCGCAAGAAGTTTAAATATTGGTTAATGTTGCGATTGAAAATTGTAACATAATGTTACAATACGAGTAATATCGTCTCTCGCCCTGGACACGTACAGAGTTGTAACATGTCATTTAAAACTTATCAGTGTTCTACTCAACAATTAGTCAACCGATTGATTTGATGAAATCTGACAACTGCATTAGTTATCGTTTCAATAATTCAACAATCGCCTCTTTGTTCCAACGACAGTTAAAACTTTAAACCGTTGCTTTGGTGCGGCGAGAGCTTGCTGATTGTTGACACTCGTTAAGTTGAACTGATAAGATTGGCTATCACTCGCGGTCGTCCAAGCCGAGGCCGCGGCGTAGCGCTCAGCGCCCGCAACGTTGCGGTAGCCTTGCGGAGCGCTGCCACAAACCTGTCAGGAGGGCGAAGTTCTGCAGCCAAGCGGGCGGGAGCTGCATGGCGTCCATATCAGAAGCAGAGTTAGAGGCGGGAGATGTCGGGATATGTCGGAGGTCGCGGCGCACACAGGAGCACTCGGTCAGAGGTCGCGGCGCGCACTGACCGCGCTGGCGGCCGCGCGCGCCGCCTCTTATCGCCTCTGATTCAGCAGACCTGCCCTCCATTGTTGCGATATGCTTCAAATCGTGCGCTTCTCATGTGCGACATCACTTCGACAAGGAGGAAAAAGACTAAATCCTATTGAGACGTTTTATAATTATTTTAAAACCTACACCTATTTGTTTACAACACTACGAAGGAAAACTGATTTAACTGAGTTTTAATTTAATCTAGATCATGAATTTGTGTAGTTTTAAATTGAATAAGTATACGAGATAATTTGTGATTCAAATAGTTATTCCGACGTATTACGATAAACTCCCCCCGCCTCACTCGAGCCCTACCGCACCCCTCCCGCGTCCGTGACAGCTTATCCTCCATTAGATGGACAATAACAATGTGTTTATCCTTTTGCTGGGAAATATATCTGTTCTGGGAATACCGCGGAGCGCTGTCGGCGGCGATACTGAATCACTTGTTGTTGAGTTGCGGTTTGCGGAGACGCGCCCGCGGCCCCGCATTCGATCTCAATGTACTCGCTAATGAGACCGGGATTTAGTCCGTTATCAATTATAAATAAGTGTTGTAATTGTACGTTGTTGAAGAGATGATTTCATAACAATTATTCATATACATAAAACTCATCGCAACTATTGAATACCTATTACCTACTACATATGTATATACTACCATGATAACTCTATAAATTTTTGAGGTATAATTCAGTGTCAAAATTGTTCAGCTTCGGCTCAGAGGATATCATTATTTATTTGGAGCATAAATTATTTATCATTACTAAGAAAACACTGATCAAACATTCCTGACACTAAATTAAAACAAACCAACAATTGTGTTCGTGTTAATTGTAATAATGTAACTAGCAATTGTTATCACGTGTCCCGGGATTGTACGAAATCTTAATAAATAAAAAAAAACATTGTGTTTACGACACGAATGCGTAATTCCCCGCGCGACGAGCTGGACTTCAACTATTTGTTAATTCACATTTGTTTGCTTCAAATCAACCGTTCAAAACATTTCAACCATTCAAAATGTCTTCTCAATTTTTCCTAGTTGTTGCTTGTTGGAAACTAACATTTTTAAGTTTTTGCGTAAATCATGCGTCACTTCTCTTGCTGAATACATGAGATAACATGATCCGATACATTAGTTAGCGATTAATTATTTTAAATAAAGATTGTATGTAGTTACATTGATATTGCTTAGTTGTTATTATTTTTATTCGGACATGTACTCGTATTTTCAAGCGATTTGTCTAGTAGAACGTGATTACCACTTTTATCCTTGTTTAATTTTATTGTTACATAGTACTGTAGCTCTGATGTTGCTTCGGCTAGTCCTTGTTATACATTTAAAGTATCTTATTTCTAATGTTAAATATTTTATTTCATGTATATTTATCAATCTTGATCAACTCTTCTTCAGCTGTATGTGTATGTTGTGAAGCAAGGGAGGTAAGCGGTTACTGGTCGTTACCGTATGAGTCGTGGTGCGATGCGGGGTGGTGGTG